CTTGTGTGGGGGCAGGGCCTGAAGTCAGGTGGGGAGGGAAGTTCTGAGCCCCGCGTCGGGCTCTGTGCTGACGGCTCAGAGCCTGGAGCCTGCTTCGGATTCTGTGTCTCCTTCTCTCTCTGCCCCTCCCCTGCTCGTGCTCTGTCTCTGTCTCTCAAGAATAAATAAATGTTAAGAAAAAAACTGTTTTAAATATACGATTGCAGGGAGCTTGGCTGTCAGTGGAGCACGCGACTCTGGATCTCAGGATTGTGAGTTCAAGCCCCATGTTGGACATGGAGCCTACTTAAAATTTAAACCATTTAAAAATAAAAGAATATATAATTGCCCAATGAAAAAATTCCACAAAGGGACAGAGAGCAGAAGACAACCACTCAGAAAACGAGGAACCACCTGAGAAATCCGATTGCTGTCTCAAAAATAAAGCTCCCTGAAAGGGAGAGCAGAAGATGGGGCACCTGGGTGGTTCAGTAGGTTAAGCGTCCGACTCTTGGATTTCAGCTCAGGTCGTGATCTCGCGGTTTGTGAATTCAGGCCCCGTGTCAGCCTCTGTTGGTGGCACAGAGCCTGCTTGGGATTCTTTCTCCCCCCCTCTCACTGCTCCTCCCCTGCTCATGTTCTCTCTCTCAAAATAAACAACAACAGAAAAAATAAAATGTTTTTTTTAAAAAAAAGAGAGAGTGGAAGAAACAGAAGGAGAACGTTTCCAAGCTCTAACCAGATGCAGTGCTCACTCGGGGGGACTCGGGGAGCAGGCCAGGTGGGTGAGGGCGAGGGCACTCTTGTCCCCAGCTTCTGGAGTCCCCGATGTGCGCACTGTGCAGGCTGTGCCAATGGCACCAAGTCTGGGACTCAGGGAAGATCCCACCGTGGGCCTCCACCGCCTCCTTCCCGTCCTCACCCTGTGGATGCCACAGTTCTTCTCCAGGTGATGTGACTACGTCTCCCGGCGTGCGAGGACGAAGGTATTAACCACACGAACCCACTTACTTGGTGTGCGCCTTGGGATGCGTCTGCTGTTGGCATTGCCGTTCTCCGGAAAGTCCGCAGGCACCTCCCCGAGGTCCTTCCAAAGGTGCCCCATGTGCCCCTGCCCAACGCCCGGGGATGTCCTCACCAACGACCGCCAGGCCCTCTGGCCACTCGCTCAGGCTGGATCCTCCCCGCCCGCCGTCACAAAAAGCTGTCCAGAAGTCCTACACCTACTCGTGACCTTTCCAGAGCAGACAAGTGGTCAGCTTGTCTTCCTGGTCGGCTGTGTGGTTGTAAAGCAGGAAAAAGCCCACCGAGCAGGGGCCGTAGGTTTGCACCACGTCCTGCATAACCGCAGGCCGCCGACAGCCACCCGCACCACAGAGGATGGCGTGAGGGATCAGCCGTCCCCTGCTCAGGGCCGGCCCGCTCGTCCGCCTCTGTCTCTCTTGCTCCCACCTTGTATTACCTCCAGGGCGACCGTCCACCTCGGTCCCTGTAGCAGTCATCGGTCATCCCCCAGAGCCCATTCTTAGAAGACATCAGCTTGGGGTTCACACTGTCCCCCGTGACCTTGTTTTCTCACACTGTTTTGTAACTTGGACATCTACGCTGGTGAAAGCACATCACAACCACATACTCCCTTGTGCTCTTTACATGGACACAGGGCTGCTTGAAATAAAGATACTTCCATTGGGGCGCCTGGGTGGCTCAGTCGGTTGAGCGTCCACCTTTGGCTCAGGTCATGATCTCATGGTTCGTGGGTTCGAGCCCCGCATCGGGCTCTGTGCTGACAGCTCGGAGGCTGGAGCCTGCTTCCTGCTTCAGATTCTGTGTCTCCTTCTCTCTCTGCCCCTCCCCTGCTTGCACTTTGTCTCTCTCAAAAATAAACACTAAAAAAAATCTTCATAGGAAAATGAAAATTTAAGTTTTTAGACACCTCAGAGGGGTAGGGAAGGATCTCTTAAAGAAAACTCAAAGGCTAAGCCACAGAGAGTAAAAGACTGACATGCATAACAATGCTAATACTTACAAGTTACTCTGACACAGCGACTGCCGCTAGCGAGACAAGCCACAGCCCGGAAAGGACATTTGAAATGCGAGTAACTGACCAAAAATTAGGATCCCTCCAGCATACATATATTCGAACAGGCCTAAATATCCATAAATAACGGGCAAATCGTCCAAATGGAAAATGGGTCAAGGATATGAACACATAACAGACAAGGAAACTTGGACGGTCACAACATACGAGAGGATGGTCAACTTCAGTGCAGATGAAAACCCAAGGGATGTAACACCCACCCAATCAGTATAAAGGGAAAATCTGAAGACACCATTTGCTGGTGGAGATGGGGAGAAGGAAGAGCGGTCGGATTACTGACTGACCACGGGACAAAGGCCCCACGAGCTTGGGGAGCGAGCGGGAATTCACAGTCGGTGAGGGGACAACAGACACCCGGATGCACAAAACAGGTGTGCCCTGCGTTCCGGCTGTAACACAGACACCCTGCCCAACGCACAATGTCCGTCACCAGCGGAACAGGAAAATGAAGCTGGTGGACTGCCACACCGCGGAATACTATACAACAGTTGAAATAACGGAAGCAGTGCTATGCTTGTGCACGTGAACGTCCCAAGAACGAATATTCGAATTTTAGAAGTGGTCGAGCGGGTACAGGGTGACATTTCTGCAAAGCGTAAAGAACACACTGGCACCAGAGCTGATCGTGGAGGCCTGGGTTCGAGCTGCCTTTGAGACAGCAAAAGGGGGTGGACCGCACTGGGCCCACAGGCAAACGGGACTTGGGAATTATAAAGTTTTATTTCTTTATGTTTTTAATGTTTAATTAATTAATTAATTTTGAGTGAGAGCACGGGTGTGTGCAGGGGAGGGGCAGAAAGAGAGGGAGACAGAGAATCCCAAGTGTCGTAGACTCTGGGTCTAAAGTTCTTTGGTGTCCAGCAAGAAAGCAGAGCGCAGGATTAAAATTCGAGAGATGGCTAATGTCCAGGAAAAGTCAAGAGCCCCGAATAAGGGTCGCATTTTTATTAGGATTAGAAGGCTTACAAACATGGTGATGGGCGTGCACAAAGAGACAATAAATCCACCAACATTAATTCACGGGCGTGGGGGAAAGGGGCTTTTGATGGTGTTAGGGGTTTGTGTCAATACAAACTCCTGGTGGTGGTTGTTAAGGGCAGACATGAGGCCCCATGCCTGTTTATCTCAGCCAGCCTAGGGGATAAGACAGATAGAGCATACAATCTGGGGGTTAATGAGGCACCTTTCTTTTGCTAATTAGCGCCACTCTGGGCAGCTTCACCCCTGCAGTGGTCTAGAGCTCTATTTATGCTATTTATGTGTTTACCTAATTTGGTCCTTCCTTCCTGTGAAAGCAGGGGTGGGGAGCGGGGGCAGGGGCCTTTTTTGCCCTGGATACCTATTCTTGTTTACTCATATACTTTTGTATTGGGTCCTGGGGGCCTCGGTTCCACCCTGTCTATCCTTATTTACCCAAATGTGGGTGTGAGCACCCTATGGCTTTGTAATTCTTTATGCCTCCTTAACCCATCCATGCAGGCTCAGGGAATTCCCACAGCCAAGCAGGCTCCACACTGTCAGCGCAGAGTCTGATGCTGGGCTCAAACCCACAAACCATGAGATCATGACCTGAGCCAAAACCAGGAGTTGGACACTTAACCAACCGAGCCACCCAGGCATCCCTAAGGATTTATTTTTAAAACTCTGGAGCAGATAGGGGAAAAACCACAAAACTGGTACGCTGGTTACAGGGGGGCCCAACGCACGTGCCTGCACGTTCTGTTCCTTCCAGCAAGTTTTTGTCACCTCTCCCCGCAAGTGTCAGGGCCCCAGGCTGTCAGCTGTCGGGACCAGCTTCTGGCTTCCCCAGCCATGTCTCTTCAGATACCTTTGTTTCGCTGCTGCCCCTCCCCGCCCCCCCCACCCCCACCCCACCAACCATGGCCTTGTGACATTCCTTTGTGTTCTGTCTTGACACTTCCTCATGGGCACCTATCCTCTCTCCTCCCAGGAGTCACTTGGATGCAGGACCCGCCCCCCTCTGCTTGTCCCCCTAAACGTGGCCTCCGCCCCCAGCACCCTGGTCAGCCCTTTGGCAACGACCTGCCCACCCCTAACAAACCAGGACCCACCAAAGCTGGGACCCTCCCCTGCCCCACCCCCCAAACTACTCATTCTGATCCCAAACCCAACGAGCCAATCCCAGGTTTTCCTCCCCTTTACCGCCAGGGACCGGCCCTCATCAGCCGAGACTCCCACCGACTCTCAGCTTTCCGGGCAGTGATGCCGCCACCTGGGCCCTGACCGTGAGTCACCACCAGTCACGGTGTCTGGATCCCAAGTCCGGGCGCAGGCAAGGCTACCCACGGCCTGTCCGCGTCTGGCCTCTGGGCTCCCTGGTGCCTTCTGCTCATCCACAAACACAGGGAAAAGCGAGCACCGTCAACCATGGAAATAGACGATCTTATTCTCTCCTGATGACTACACAGCTGCAGGGCAGTCACATTATTTCAGGAACGAGGACACAGGACGTGGTCAGGACAGCCCCGGCCCAAGATTGTCTGTGTGACCCAGGATGACACAGAGGGAAAGGAGACACTGGCCAGCCCGCCCCCCCCACCCCCGCCGCCAGCACCCCGAGGTGTCCGCAGAAGGGACAGCAGGGTCCCTGAGCACGGTCCGCCAGGACACGCTGGTTCACCAAGGCGCCGCACTGCTGGTCTTGGTGACAAGCGCAGTGGGGCCACCATGGGGTCTGCCAGGGCCAGCGGCCCTGCACGTGTCCGAGCTACGGGCCGTTGGGCCCCCCTCGCCCCCCACACCCCAGTTCAGAAAGCCAGTTGGAGAAATGACTGCAGAGACGGGGTGTTAGCCCCTCCCCCGGGCGCGTCTCCCCCCCGACCCCAGAGCCCAGGTTCTCCCAGGAGGGGCCACAGGACGCAGGGAGGGGGGCCGGCGCTCACAAACAGACCGAGCCCAGCACTCCGGTGGAATTCACTTATTTACTGATTTTAATATGAAGCCACTTCACAGCAGCAACTGCCAGCAGGAGAACAGGACTCGGCTTGGAAAGGTGATAAAATAACAATGACGTCACAGACAGAAGCACTGGGGACATTCCGTGCAGGGCACGCCGGCGTCCTACTGCGGCCACGGTGGGCAGGAGCCCGGCGCCACGGCCAGCACGGACTCCTGGTCCCTTCCTTCGCCTTGGCCCGCAGGTCACCCCGGGCTGTGGCGCCGGGCCAGGTGGCCTCGCCACACCTTCCTCGTCCTCGGTTCCGTGAGCCGCGCTCCAGCGACCAAACAACTAGCACCAAAAACCTGCTTCTTCCTCTTGGCCGGGTAAACATGACACTTCCTTCTCTTTGTTTCTCGCTAGGGAAAGAAAAGTCTCGGAAACATATGGCACTAGAGTGTGAATCTCCCCGGGGGCGCCCGGTACAACCCGCCATGGCCACCAGCCCACAGCGCCCAGGCGGCCATCAGATGTAGAGCTGGTGCGAGGCCAAGGTGTCCATGAAAGGGCGCACCAGGTTGTCCGTGGAGAAGTAAAAGATGAGGCCGAACGTGATGGAGATGGGGAGGGCGGGCAGCGCCTTCTTGAACACGGCCAGCAGCAGGAGGGTCAGACACAGACCCTGAAGGACACAGAGGGAGGTGGTGACTGCCGGTGTGGACATGGTGGGGGGTGGCAGTCAGCGACATCCCCCCTCACCCCGCCCCCTCCCGCCCGGGGCTCAGCACTGGTGTGGGGCCTGCCAGACAACAGCCCGAGACCCCCTCTTCCCGGGTCCTCTCGAGGGTTCACCCCCGCGTAACACCCTGTGTGATGTGAGCCCCACTCCCAGAGTGGCCCTGCTCTACCAGGCTCCCTGCCTGGTGTGGCTACAGCGGTGACACGTGTGACCTGTGGCAGAGGCCTCCCCCAGGGGACATCTATTTATAAAGGACTGAATGAGGGGAGCCTGAGTGGCTTGGTCGATTAAGTGCCTGACTCTTGATTTTGGCTCCGGCCCTGATTTCACAGTTGGTGAGATCGAGCCCATATCAGGTCGTGTGGGGACATGCTTCTTTCCGGTTCCGTGAACCTCAGGTCATCGCCCCCACAGCACACGAGGCTGGCCATGCCCCTGGCACCGCCGCGTACGCAGTAGGTAATGCAGGAGCCCCCCAGCCGTGCATCCCCTGCTTGGAGCCTCCTGTGAGCCTGGCCTCATCTCGGGGGTCTTCCCGGCAGCCCAGCCCGGGTCCCCATCATCACTCTGCCCCTCCAGGGGACCTCGGCACCCGAAAGCCCCCCACGAGGCCCCGGGGCCACTCACAATGAGGACAGCCACAAAGCACGCCAGCGTGGTGTTCCAGTCCCCGCTGCCCGTGGCCGCCGCCTTGCCCACCAGCACGCTGTAGAAGATGAAGTCCCCCAGGCCGAGTTTCACGCCCCCTGCGCGGGGAAGACAGCATGAGCCGCTCAGTGACTCAGCCTTGACCAGGGGACCCAGGGATCCCCGGGGCCAGAGCCCTGGGTGCCTCAGAACAGAAGCCAGCAGGAAACGGGGGCCCTCGGACAGGCTGACCAGCTGTCTGGGCTGCAAAAATGCTGGCATTTCTGACAATACGGGTAAAACCGACGCTTGGCACTCAGCTGGTAAGAAAAGCGCAACTAGAACTTACTGTCAGGTCGGCAGGAGGCTATACAATTCAGCACTGGGTTTCAGGTCTATGTTTTCGTATGGAATTTCATTGCCTTCAAGGACACGGACAATGCCCAGAGCTCGTCTGGCGAGCCTTCCCCTTAAAGGTAGGTGAGCACAGCTGCTAATTAGCTGATATCTTACAGACAGTAAACGGGAGTCCGAAGACCAGTTTCCTCTAGAATGATCGCCCGGTGCGCTTGTTATCATTACGTGCTCACCACGGACGATGAAACATCCGTGTAATGAACACATCTGCTGCCTTGTCTCCTCCCTCCCTCCTCCCGGGCACGGGGGCTCCCCGCCCCTGCCTGGACACCACCCCTCCCACTACCAGACCCTGCTCTGCTTCTGCTGCCCCCTCTGGCTGGTGACAAGCATGCCCGCGGTTCACCCTCTCAAGGAACCTGCTTTCCGTGTCCTCAAATTCACCGCTCCTCATTGTGGTCCGTCTGTCCATCTCCTTCTCACACTCCCCACCTGCTTTCCTGGTCTGCGCCCTCCCTTATCTCTGTTTTCAATCACTTCTTTGTCAGAAGAACCCCGTGCTCCCCATCTCCACACTCCACCCCTTGCTGGGCCCACGCGGACCATCTGGGCTCGGATGCCTTACTTTCCTCCTCTTCCTCCAGGTCGTCCCCGGGGTAACCAGGCAGCGGGGGCTCAAAGACTTCAGGGTAGGAGGGTTCCCCGAAACTGTCATAGGAGTCTTCCTCTGGGTGGCCGAGAAGAGAACGGGGCGGTCATCACGGGAGGCACGGGCAAGGGAGAGAGATAGAAGTCCGGTCAGAGGGACCTCGGATCTGTGGGGAGCCAGCCTGAGCCCCGCCCGGCCCTGAACAGAGAGGAGCCCCCTCTAGCACACACACAGGGAAGGGGAGGAGACCAGCGGGTTGGTTGAGGCACGGGCTCCAAGTCCCACCCGCGCTCCACCCTGCCCCCCAGCCCGCGGGAGGCCAGGCCCCTGCGACCAGGGGCTGCCAGCCTCCTGAACTCACCCATCTCCGGGTCGTAGGGCAGCTGAAGGGCTCCCTGGGAGGAGGGGTCCAGCTTGGCCATGCCCACCGTCCACACCATGGCGGCTGGGAAAGGAGACAGGGGGGCGGGGCTCAGGCGCTGCTGACTGCGGCTGTCCCCAGGGACCCAGGAGGCGGTGTCCACAGAAGGCGCGGGACCCTCACTTCCAACCAGTACCTCCTCACGCCCCTTGTGAGGAGGCCCCTGGGGGAGGGGCCCGGACAGGGCCTTTTCTGGTCTTTTTTTTGTCTCTTTACAAAACCGACGATGAAAATGTCAGCAGGGTACAGTCGGGTGAACTAATTCTCATCATGGTAAGACACGTCACATGAACTGTGCACGTAACCTCCGCTGAGTGGACACCTGGGCAGCGTTAAGTGTATTCACGCTGCTGGGCAACAGTCCCTGCCCAGAACCGTTCGTCTGCCAGTGCTTTCAGGACCTCCAGCGCCCCCATGTGCCTGTGCCCCGGTGTCCCCGTTCTGGGTCTATGAATTTGGCTCCTCCGTATTCACCATGGAGGGCGGGGGGGGGGAGGACACACCGATTTACCCTTTTGTGACTAGCAGAATTCACGGAGCACAGTCCTCAAGGTTCATCCACGTAGCACGTGTCAGAATCTTCCTTTTGGGGGCTGGACTGTACTTCGCTGCACATGCGCCCTGCCCGCATGCGTACCCGCCCGCACCTGTACATGCGCCCGGCGCCGTGCCCCTTCCACCAGTGTCTGTACCTGCTAGCACCTATACACGCACCCCTGGAGGGGTCTTTCTGCCCCCAGACCCGGCTCCACTTCCACCCCTGACCCCATGCCTTCTGTTCTCCCTTCAGCCACCTGCACGATCCCGTTAAAACGTAAGGTCAAGTGGGTTGGAAACCTTCCAGGGGCACAAAGCCCACTCAGGAGGAAAAGCCCAGGCCGGCAGGGCCAAGCGCATCTGGACCTGCCCCCTGCCCCCTTCTGCCCCGCCTGGCTCTGCTCCCAGCCCCCCGGGGCCTTTGGTTTGAAACCTGTCCCAGGGTTTGCCTGAGGCAGGTCTCCTGTCAGACGTCACCTTGTAACCGCGGAGCATTGCCTCCTGGCCTCCTGACATATTATCGCCTGTTTAGCTGCGGCCCCCCCTCCGGGAACGTGCACCCCCAGAGCACAGAGGCCACGAACACAAGTCTGGGCACATCCCAGCCTTCCCACACGTGGTCTCTGCTCCTCCCAAGAGGGGGCCTAGAACGTGCGTTCAGGCCGTGTGCCACCTGCCGCGCCCACCACAGGCCCCGCTCTGCCTTAGAGATGACCCACTCTGTGGCCAGTGTGCAGACGGGTCCCCATGAGGCCAGGGGCCTCACCCCAAGCCCAGTGCTGCGCTTGCTACAGCGCAGGGACCTGCCGCATGTCTGCCGACGCATATGTCAAAACCCGAATCCCACCCAGTGGCCAGCCACACGCACCCCCGTGTGCCTTCCCTTCAGAGACTTCAACAGCCACGGAGTTGTCGAGAGGGCCCAGTGAAAAGCAGATGCACCCCAGCTCCAGCCCCCTGTCCTCAAGAGGCCCTCCCCAAAGGACCCTCTCAGGGGGAGTATGGGGGGCTCAGTCCGTTAAGTGTCCAACTTCAGCTCAGGTCATGATCTCACAGTTTGTGGGTTCGAGCCCCGTGTCATGCTCTGTGCTGACAGCTCAGAGCCTGGAGCCTGTTTCAGATTCTGTGTGTCCCTCTCTGTCCCTCCTCCACTCATGCTCAGTCTCTCTCTCTCTCCACGGAGGCTGGCTGGGACAGAGTTGTGGGGACCGACCACATCCCCCGCGGCTCCCACCTGCCCTAACTCTCTTGGCATCTTCCTGTATGAAAGCACAGCCTGTCTTGGGCCCCGGTGGGATCACCAAGGTCACCTCCTCCCTTTGATCTGGGAAAAAGTACCCATCCCGCAGTGAACTCTGCCTCCCTCTATGGGCTGCCTTTGGACCCCAGGAAGAGGTCTCCCAGGAGACGCAGGGTCACTCACAGGAGTAAATCAGGGCAGGAAATATGGGCTCGTTCCTCTCCTGCGCCGTTTCCACCAGCATCCTCAGTGGCCCCTTGGGGCACAGCACAGCCACGAGATCTGGGACAACAAGGACATCCACGATGCGTCACCCGCGACGTGTATTCCCATGCAGCCCCAGAGCGGAGCCAGCCACTAACACCGGGGCTCGGGCGCGGCTCGGGGCGTATGCTGTGTGCCCGCTCCCAGCCCCCCGGTTTCCAGCCACGGCCCGGAGAGTCTGCACTGGCTGAAGCCCAGAACGGGGTCCCAACGGGCAGATTGCCGTGTGGCTTGGGGACCCCAATGGCGGGCTTGCCATCCGACTTCCCTGAGCCTCAAATCCTTACCCTTAGGTGGAAGTCACGGCACCGGAGACAGAATCACACCGACACTAGTTAAACGGCAGCTAACATTTTGGGTGCTCGGCTTTTATTGGTCCTGCGCCCGGCCCTACGGCTGCTGCGGAGCAAACAACTTCCGGGGTGCCGAGCACTGTTATTAGTGACCATGTCAACCGCCCGAAGGCCTGCATGGAGCCCCCGTGGCTCACGAAGGCGAGGGGAGGCCACCCAGCTTTGATCGGGGAGGGGGGCGCCTTCAGCATCTGCCACTGGCGCACCAGAGCGGGGCACTCGACCCCGGTCGTCGCCCCCACCGCCCACCAGCAGCCTTGACGCCCGCCCGAGCTCGCCTACCGTACACAGAGATGGCGCCCAGAATGACCCACGCAGACCACTCCGGAAGGTACTTGATGAACACCAGGGCCATGAGGGCGCTGATCATGATGAGGTAGGCCTGCTGCAGGACCAGGGGGCCCTTCCAGTGGATACACACCATGCCCACCGCCCCGAAGTTCCAGACGGTCAGGAAGAGCGTGGGGTAGTCCATGGCCACGTTGTAGGTCTTGAGCACTTCCCTGCACGACCAACGGCAAGCCCGTGGGGTGGGGAACTCGGTGGAGACGCGAGACCTGACCGGACACAGCCCAGCACCCCCTCCCCTCAACCACTCAGTCCCCCCCTGGGTTTTTCCAACCTCTGGCTTCACTCGCTCATCGCCCCTTCCCCATTCAGTGAGCCCTACGACCACCCACTGGAAATATTTTCTGGAATGAGGTGGGGAGGATATCAACGTCTCGTCCTCAGAATGGCTCACATAAACGTGGGCTGGCACAGCCTGGAAGGCTTTCTGCCCCAGAAAAAGGTCCGTGGCAGCCAGACTTCCCATCCCTCTAGGCTCTTCAGGCCCCTGGGTTGGGCTGACAGCCCCGGTGGAAGGCGAGAGAGCACATCACTTTTCCCACGAACTGAGGCCTGGCCCCAAGTCGAGAATGTAACTCTTAAGGGATTTACATCCCTCTTGGCTTCACGGAAAGGAAATCGTCCTCCTCGCTCATTTGTTTTAAATCAGCCTTCAGGGGAACCTGGGGGGCTCAGCCGGCTGAGCCTCCACTCTGGACTCTGGCTCAGGCCCTGATCCTACGGTCGTTGGCTCCAGCCCCTTTCGGAGCGTGCTTAAAATTCTCTCTCTCCCTCTCTCTGCCCCCTCCCCCTGCTCACTCACTTTCTCTCTCCCTCTCGCTCTAAAGTAAATATAAACCAATCAATGAGAAAACAGAAAGGGATGGATGCCTGTGGTGAAGCGCCACTGACGTATGTCGTATGTCGAGGCCGCGGGAGGAGGGATCAGGGGACTGGCTGTAGGAGCGGCGACACCGGGGAGGGTGTGGAGCCTGCAGGGACCCCTCCCCACCCCCGTCCTCTGTGTCCGGCCCGAGCGTCCCGGGGAGCAGCCCACGGGGCACTTACCCGAGGTAGATGTAGGTGAAGAGAAACAGCAACATCAGCGACGACATGATCAACCAGCCGTGGATAAACTAGACAACAGACACGGGCAGAGTGACCACAGGTCCCCAGCTTCTCGGGACCGACGCCCTAGGCCCCTCCGGGACCATGCTGCAAAGTGCTGGTGGCCATGTGACAGATAAGGGGGGCGAAGATGTTCACAGAGCTCTCTCAAGGTCACCCGGCAAGTGTATGGGGTGAAAATCCCTCAGGTCCAAGCAGCAGACCCCTTCCCTCACTGAGAGAGGACGTACTGGACAACTGTCACCTGCATGCACGGCCCCAGACGACTGTCATGTGTGAGCACGGCCCTACACGGCTGTCATGGCGGGCACGGCCCTACACGCTGTCACCGGCGGGCACGGCCCTACACGCTGTCATGGCGGGCATGGCCCTCCACGGCTGTCACCGGCGGGCACGGCCCTACATGGCTGTCACCAGCGGGCACGGCCCTACACGCTGTCACCGGCGGGCACGGCCCTACACGCTGTCATGGCGGGCACGGCCCTACACGCTGTCACCGGCGGGCACGGCCCTACACGCTGTCATGGCGGGCACGGCCCTCCACGGCTGTCACCGGCGGGCACGGCCCTACATGGCTGTCACCGGCAGGCACGGCCCTCCATGGCTGTCACCGGTGGGCACGGCCCTAGACTCGTAGGAGGAGGCCAGCAGAGGCCCTGCCCTTGTGCCGCGTGCCAGGGCGAGGGCCATTAGCCGATAAACATACAAACGTACTGACAGGTAGTTCAAGGGCTACAAAGAAAAAAGTGGCAGGACAAAGGGCCAGGAGACTCACTGGGCTGCAAGGTCAGTGAACAGGGCAGCCCTTGCGGGCAGTGCAGGGGGGACCCTCCCACCCAAGGGTCTACAGATCCTCAAAGAGACACGTGCCTCCATCCTGGCCACCAAGGGAGGGTCAAGGGTGATGCTGGGCCCAAGCGACACGGTGGTGTCACTACCACTGCCTGCCCCCCAGACGACAGACCCTCAGTCACCAGCTTGGGCCCCCCGGGGACCTTAGTGAGAACGAGATCTACCTGAAAAGAAGCGGCGGCCCAGGCCGTGCCTTGTGCCTGGCAGCCTTGACCGTGTACTGACCCCTCACCCCAGCCGCCTCCGTGCCCAGGACCACTGTCACCTCCTGCTGCAGTGTCCCGGAACCTGACCGGACACCTGACACCCCCCACCACTCGGCTTCCCAGCCCAACTTAAAACCACCTTATTTGCACAGATAATTCACTGCTGCCCGCCCCGTATCGCCCTGTCCCTGCTCTGAGCCTCCTCCTCACCCTCTCCCTGCTCCACAGAGGCGGCAGCCTGGATACAAAGAACTGAGCACGCCTCACGGGGACGGTTTCACATCAGGCAATCCTGGTGGTCTTCCTTCCAGGCCACAGGGGCTCAGAGAAACCTCCCCTCAGGAGAAAAGCCTGAAACCCACGTCTGAAAGCCCCCGGCCTCACCCCCTGCCTCCCCGGGAGAGACGATGCCTGTGTAATGGGGCCAGGCAGCCTCCCCTCGGGCCTCCGATCCTCCACTACCCCGGCCAAAGGTGGCTTGTGAGGGGGGCGGGCCAGCGAGCGGGGCCGGCACTCACCTTGTAGCAGCGGTATTTGTAGAGCACGACCAAGAAGATGGTCATGGCCACAATGACGCTGATCATGATGAGGGTGTTGAGCACGGAGTTGAGGAGGCGCTGGCCCACAGAGGGCGTGTCCTCGGTGAATGGTGTGTAGATGCTGAGGGAGACGGCGGGCTGCAGACTCTGCTCCCTGCCTGCTCCATAGGGCCTGCCCACGAGCCACCCTACCTCAGCCTGGTGCCCGAGACCGGGGGGGCAAGGAAGGGGCCCCCCCAGGCCTCCCCTCCCTCCCCCACACCCCTCTTCCCCGCCCCCAGGATCCCTCCCTCTCCCAAGCACCCCCTCCCCGGGCTCCCCTCCCTCCCCCAGACCCTTCCTCCCTACCACCCCAGGGCTCCTCCCCCTCCCCAGAGTCTTTTCTCCCCAGCCCTCCCCACTCCTGCTGGCCAGGGCACCCAGCAAACACCCACACCCAGCCCAGGGCTCCCCCGTGGTGCCCCCGGCCCCACCCAGCACAGGCACATGCAGCCAATACACTCTGGAGGCCTTCAGCCGGCCCCTTGCCGTTGCCCTGTCTCCCCGGGGCTGCCCACTGAGCGCCCCCACCTGCTCTGTGGCCCCAGCCCGACCCCCCCCAACCAGCCTGCAGGGGCGAGGCTTCCCCTCTGCTCTTTTCTTTGAAAAAACCAAACCCAAGTGAAAGGAGAGCTCCCGAACTACAAACAGTAAGCACAAGGTTTGGAGGAGGCAGGCGGCTGCTGCCGCGAGGTCCCAGAGGAGCAGGTGACGGGCACAGGCAGCCTTCTCACTGCTGCCCCCCTGTGCCCCTTTCACTCAAGTGCTCAAAGCCTCCCTCAGGAGGCCGCAAGCAAACTAAGAAATCACCGGGCCCACACTCGGGCTTCCGGAGAGGCCCAGAGAGCAAACCATGGGTTCAGGCACTCGGTGTCACCGGGCACACTGGCGTCCCCTGCTCGGGCCACGAGGCGAGCGCTGGCCTTGCGCCGTGAAACCCAGCGAGCCTGAGCGCGGTGGGCGCGGCCATAAGCCCTGTGCGGGTGTCAAGCATCCTAACTCTCCTGGCATCGCATTCATTATAGGAGCGAGGAAACTGAGGCGGAGGGAGGTCAGGAAAGGGCCCAGGCAGGTCACGCAGCCGGGAGGCAGCGGACGGACTGGAGCGAGGAGGTGGGCGGCTCTAGCCCAGCCTCGCACCTGCGGCTGGCATGCGGCTGCGGGTGCAGCGAGCCCTACCCCCACCCCGTTCCCTGACTTACAGCTGTCCGTTCTTCTCTGTGTAGAAGCGCACGGACTTGATGGTGGCCACCACCACGATCATGCACAGCGTCACGGGCACGAACAGCATGATCACGTGCTTCGCCCCGTATTTGAGGGTCAGTTCCTCCTCCAGGCCCGACGGCTGCCCAGGGACCCCACCGCAGACGTAGTGGTCAGGGTCCTCGTCAAAGTCGTCCTCACTGTCCTGGCCTCTCTGTGGAAAGCCGCAGGGTGAGGGCCACGGGATGCCCCCCCATCCCCACTGGCTGGCAGACACAGCACAGGGGTGTTTCGTAACAGGAAACGAGGAGCTTTAATGCCACTTTGCAGAGGTGAGAACCAGGGAGACGGAGACGGGGGTGGGGGGGGGGCAGGCATGTGAAAGGTTTACAAAGACATCTAGGGAAGACTCAGGGCCGGCACTAACCGTCACAAGTGCGGGAGAGGGGCCACGGCGGCCACAGAAGGGGGCGGGCTGCAGGCCCAGGACCTGGAGCATCTCTAATCATCGCCCCCTCCCTCAGTTCAGGGACTCACATGCCACCTTGCTCTGTTCCAGTGGCCATACTGACTCGGGAGGGGACCGGCCAGGTGACAGAGGAGGAAATGGACATTAAACATTCCCGGTCGGTCGACAAACCACCCTCTAGAATAGTCAGTACATGTGGGGACTCTTTGATTGTAAGACACTGGGGGAATTTGCAGAGGAGGAAGTTACTCTGAACTCTGCCCCGCCCCCAAATCAGGCACGTGAAACTATCAACAGGGAACCAGACGGGTTAACTGGGCGCCAAGTCCCTGGGGGAGGGGAGGTCCGTGCTATAGGAGGGTGGGACAGCATACCGCAGCAGCTGGCAGAGGCGGGGCAGGTGGCAGAGCAGGGTAGGTGGTGGAGGAGGGCAGGTGGCGGGGGGGGGCAGTTGGAAGGGGGGAGGTGGCGGAGGGGGCAAGTGGCAGAGGGGTGCAGGTGGAGGGGGGGAGGTGAAGGAGGGGGGAAGATGGGGTGGCAGGTGGAAGGCGGGCAGGCGGCAGAGGGGGTCAGGAGACGGAAGGGGGCAGGTGGAGGGGGCAGGTGGAGGGGGGACAGGTGGGGGGAGCAGGTGGCAGAGGGGGACAGGTGGGGGCAGGTGGGGGGGCAGGTGGCGGGGGGGGGCAGGATGCCTGCAGACACTGGCCCAAACCGACCGGCAAGAATCTGTTTGGAAACGGTGCCGATTCAGGGTCATCCGCTGTCTTGTTAATTGATTAAGCACCAAAGACAAAGCCAAGGACAACAAAAACTCAAAATGACTGTGGCTTCAGGATCAGCTCTTTGCAGAGAGAACCGCAAGCCGGACACTCAGCTGAGAAGAAGCCTAGACGATCGGGCATGGAAACGACTAAAATGCACAAAAGCTCCGGGAGACAAGACAGAGGAGCGGTAAGGGTGGCCCCGAGGTGGCCTTGAGCTGGCAGATCTCCAAGGAGGGAAGACATGAGCTGGATTTCAGCCGCGGGGACTGAGGCTGGGAGGGGAAATCCCTCGTTTTAAATACTGTACCGGGCAAAACAGAGAAGGGTTTCAGGCAAATTCAGATGTTGTTTTGCCCTGATGGGGGGGAGGGGGGGAGGCTGGGGGACTCTCTCCCAGGAGACCCCCCACCTTCGTGAGGTTATAACCTCCTGCCCCATGGGCTGCAGAGACAACATCAGAGCGTCTGTGTCCCCGCCCCAAATTCACACGCTGGACCCTAGCCCCCAGTGTGATGGCACCTGGAGGAGGGCCTTAGGGAGGTGACCGGGTCAGGAGGGTGGGCCCTCCTGATGGGATGAGAGCCCTTATAAAGCGCCGCCCCCCCCCCCCCAGCTCCTCAGCCCTCCCGCAGATGCTGGATTTGCCAGCACCCTGAGCTCACACTTCCCAGCCTCTCAAACAGTGAGGAAGACAAGCCCCCCAGCCCAGGATACCCGGCCCCCACCCTCCACAGCGCCTCCCGCCCCCTGGGCCTGTGCTACCCTCCCCCTGAGGCCCCCCCACCTGTGCTAAGGAAGGGGCACCTGCCTGGTGGGGGCAGGGAGGGGGACAGAGCTGTGCAGCCCGCAGCGGACGTGTTGTCTACCGCGGAGCCCTCACCAACCAGGGCCCACCGTGCGGCCAATCCTCACACCCCCTGTGCCTTCCCTCCTGCACGGGGGGTATGTCTGCTTCCAGCCTCGAGGTCCAGGAGCCCGGGGGCTGGGTTCAAGGCCATGACCTACCCACGGCTCAGCACCGGCTCCGTCCTCCAGGCCCTGCCTGCCCTCCTGGCAGCAACGCGGCGGGGGGCTCTCGGCTGACATCAGGGACGCCCTCTCGTCACACACGTCCTCCTCGCTGTCAGAGGCCATGAACGTGAGCATGGCCCTGCCTCGGAAGCGCCTGCGAAGGAGCACAGGGGGCCTCGTTCCACCCTCCTGCAGGCCGAAGGCAGCGCAGGGCTGAGGGTGTGGCCAGAGGCGCCCGATGACCAGGCGCGGGTCCTGCCTGAGAATCGTCCAGGGCACACGTGTAGGGGGACTTCCCAGGAGACACCTGCATGGCCGGCACAGCCCCTCGGGGGACGGCCTGAGGAGGTGCCGGCCACAGGCGAGCCACCCCCCTAGAAAAGTCAAGGCCACTCCTGGGGCACCTGGGTGGCTCAGTCTGGTAAGCCTCTGACTTCGGCTTAGGTCACGATCTCGTGAGGAGATTCCATCCCCGACTGAGACAGAATATTCCAGGTGGGAGGAAGGGCAGACAGTATGAAGGAGGAACGCCAGGCGGGGCCGTGGAGGTGTGGTGGCCCCGTGCCATGTGCAGGGGAGGTCGGCACCCCCGGGGACAGAAGGGGAGGTGGCCCCCTGAAGACACTGCGGGAAGTGGATGGACACAGAGTCACAGGCAGCAGGGTGGATGTGGTGAAGGGACCGGACTCAGAAAGGGTTGGGAGGACACCAGTCGGCACTGGACATGAGGGAGAACCAGGACAGAGTCTAGGATTGCAGCCAGGCACGGGCAGGGGACAAACATCTCAGGGGAAAGACGGGGTCTGGCCCAGGAATGAGTTGAAAAGGGTCAAGGAGGGGCGCCTGGGTGGCTCAGCAGTTAAGTGTCCAATTTCAGCTCAGGTCATGATTTCACGGTTCGTGGGTTCAAGCCCCGCGTCGGGCTCTGTGCTGACAGCTCTGAGCCTGGAGCCTGCTTCAGATTCTGTGTCTCCCTCTCTCTCTGCCCCTCCCCTGCTCATGCTCCGTCTCTCTCTCTCTCCCTCTCTCAAAAATATACAGTAAAAAAATTTTATTTTTAAAGGGTCTGGGTACAGGGGAGCCACAAGACCACACAGGGTGGGCACGTGTCTGTGTGTATGTGTGTGTGTGTGTGTGTGTGTGTGTGTGTGTGAGAGAGAGAGAGAGAGAGAGAGAGAGAGAACAGCTGAGGGTAGGATCTCGAAGAAGGCTAGGCTGGAATGTCTACACAGCAGGGACACCTGCCCCCACCTTACTGTGCTGTCCCCAGCCAAGTGTCCTACAGCAACAGGACGGGGAAGCCAGTGTGGCGGAAGGGCCTAGAAGAGCGTCAGACAACCCCTGGCAGACCTGGCTGTCCCTGCCAGCCTCCTGGGTGGCCAGCTCTCCCATTGACGCCTCCCGCAGGCCCTGGGGGCTGAGCCTCGGGTCCCTGGGGACAGTGAAAGTGTTCACCTCCACACCGGCCGCCCCGGGGAACCTGTGATTTCCAAACAGGTTCCTTCGACTGTCAGCCAGCTCTGCTCTATTTGAAGCCAGCAACCTGGGCCGTGGCCAGGATTCGTCCTGAGAGGCCCTCACCTCCATCTCCCACCTGCGGGCACAAGGCGGGGCCTGCACTGGGGCTCAGTCTCCCGGGGGGCTTCACAACAAGCCAGCTCCCCTGATCCCGGGCAGACAGACCAGAGCCGGGGGAATGAAGACAAAGGCCATGTGACTTCACTCCCGGGCAGAACTTAAGACAGAACAATCGAACTTACAAAGAAACCGGCCCTTAAACAAGGTGACCCACAGGGTGGCTGCTGGGGGGAGGGGCAAACAGGTGACAGGGAGTAAGAGACGCTGGACGTGACGCACGCTGAGACATCGCCACGCTGTACACCGGGGGCTAGTATTACACTGCGCTTTCATTAAAGCGGGAGTCCCAGCAGAGGAGAAGTGCCAGAACAGGGAGGGGCGAGCTCCTGCAGCTAAGATGGAGATGGAGGTCAAGATCGAGAGGAGGAGGAGGTCTCAGGTCTCAAGGATTCGGAGGCACATGAAATGGACCACAAAGGTCAGGAACAGGTTTCCGGGCTGAGGCGGAAGGACCCAGGGCATCCTGGAAGGAAGTAACCTCGCAAATGATCGTGTGGGATGGGGGACCTCACAGGGGCTGTTCCAACACCACCGATCGATGACATGTGGCTGAAGCGTGAGGACCTAGCAGGAAGCGGTGAAGGAGGAGGTCAGAGAGGGGTGCCCCCCCCCAGGGAGGGGCAAGGGCTGTGGCCAGTCTTACTCAAGGAGGGGCAGACGAAGAGCTGGCCGCGTTTTCCCAGGCTAGATCGCACACCCTGTCCGGAGCAGGTGCAGGGGCGGGGCGGGGCAGGGGCCCTTTCAGTACCTTGTTTCCTGGCACATCAGTTCTCGGGATGTGAGTTAACAGTGCAGTTTGGATCTCCCTCCCCACCCCCCCACCCCATGCCTGTGACTGGTCCGCGCAGTGGCTGGAGGAACAGACCTAGGATCCCTGCACACGGAGCATCACGGAAGGCAGGGGCCAACCTCAGCCTTCAGAACCACAGTATCGTGGGCCACCCCATGCCCTGGGCTCCCAGGTAGCAAGCAGTAGGGAAATAGACAGGGAGCAAAGACCCTTCCTGGAAGAAGAAGGGGAGCTTTTGGGGAGGGTGAGGACAGAGAGGAGGGGACCGAGTCCTGGGCCGCCTGGGGGGCTCAGGCAGTTAAGCATCTGACTCTTGATTTCAGCTGTCATGATCGCACCATCCATGGGTCTGAAGCCCGCATCCAGCTCTGCACTGACAGCATAGAACCTGCTTAGGATTCTCTCTCTCTCTCTCTCTCTCTCTGCCCCTCCCCTCCTCGCTCTCAAGCATTAAAAAAAAAAATAGTCCTTCCAATTTCCATTTCTTCAGTCAGCAAGACGTTCCCCAGAGAGAATTTCTGCCTCCCAGCGCTTCCCTGACGTTCTCGAAGGGCGTGCCGGCCGCCTGAGCTTACAGGACTGTCAGAGCTAATTCAGGTGTGGCACGCTCACTGGCAAACAAACGCTCCCCGGGCAGATTCCTCCCCTTGTTGGGCTCCTTAAACCCCTCCCGAGCCTTCCCTGAAGGGGTGCCCAAGACCGCCAGGACCACAGGCTGGCAGGGGCCTGTAGCAGTGGCTACCACGGCTGTCACAGCAGGGGCTCTATTGAACCACAACCTTCTGGGCCTGGTGACGAGAATCACAGGTGAGGCGCCTCTCGGAGCCCTGAACACCTGACAGTGGACGGAGGCCTTGGGAAAGGCTGGGACCCTGAAGATGCCATTTCTCAAAGTGATCCAGGCCCCCTGGGGATGGGGGGGGGGGACACTGAGCCCAGTGACTGGGGAGCTGGGCACTGCTATTCTTCCCATTTTACAAAGAAACAGGGTCTAAGACGTGCTGGGTTCAAAGTTACCCTTGAACCCAGCACCAGCGTCTATGCTCTGTGCCGGACCGCTTACTGAAAGTGTGGCTCCCCAGCTCCGTTCTGGCCAAAGGCCTGCACTTGGAGAAGGCCGCTGGGTGACCATCGGGCTGCGCTGAGGCCTTCCCTGGGAATGCTGTCCCCTGGAATCCAAGCCCAGCCGGCCCCCAGACCCCCAGCTCAGGACTCAGAGTCGGGCTCCAGTCCACCTCCCTGTCCGTGTCCCCGGCGCCGCTCAGCACTACCTGCTCCTGGATGGGGAGTGACAGAAGGAACAGTCCCTCTTCCTGAAACCCATCTGATCAGCAACTGGGGAAGCAGAGGGACCAGAAAGTGGCAGGGCCGGAAGGCAGTTCCCGGCGCAAAAAGCACCCAAGTGCCCACCGCGGACGGGAATGTGGAAAAACCAGGTCTCAAAGCACCTCCAGCACCAACAGGCCGGCCTTTCTGAAGGAACGCCGTAGAAATCAAAAGCTTTAAAAACACTCATACCTTGTGATCCTGAAATGCTACTTCTCAGAATCTGTCCTAAGAAAAGAAGACAGGATTTCCTCAAAGACCTGTTTGCTGTGCATGTTTCTAACTGTGAAAAGACTGAAATGACGGAAACGCCTGTCCTGTGACATGTCTGTCTGGTGAGGTTTGTCACACGACCACGTAAAACCTTCCTCCAGAGCACAGCTCACAACAGGAAACAACACAGCAGGAAACCCCAGGTAACGGACACGAAACCTCACACACGACCGCCTGAATGTTCTCAGAAGGTGGACGGATTGGAAGGACCGGCAAGACTGAGCACAAAACAACGAATGCGGTTACCTCTGGACGCGGAGACCATGGGTCACGTGTTTCCCTGCGTCTCTCAAACCTCTTATAAACAGAGATCGTCTGTGGTTTTATTTTATTTTATTTTTTTTAGCTGTTAAATTTTCAATGGGAAACATTGAATATCAACAGGGAGGCAGACGCCCTTCCCGTCTGCCCTCTCCTGCGAGCCCTCGCTGGACTGGGGTGGGCGGGGGGGGGGGGGGAGGTGGACCCAGGGTCGCAGTCCTTTTCAAAGCCCCTCTTTTTACCTGGCTCCCGGAGAACAGGGCGGCTGGGAGGCACTCCTCTGGCTTCTAAGGCGGAACTGAAGCCTGATGCAAGCCTGACATCCCTGGAGGGAAAATCACCACCCGATTGTATGTGGATCAACAACCTTTCACTCGATATTTGTGCACATCAGAGCCTCAGTGACGTCAGGAACAACCAGCCGGGAGGCTGGCTCCAGCAGGCGGGGGTGGGGCTGGCTGGCTCTCCCGCAGCCGTTGGTGGCTTGGTGGCAATGGTGGCGAGTCCTACCTACCACGTAGCAACCAGCCCTCCGCGCCCTGCTCGCTGGAGGAGGGGGGGGGCCGAGGAAGGCACAGAGGGCGGACAGGAGGAGGGGGCAGCCCTTTGCAGGGACTGAACATAGGATGCAAATGCAAATTCCACCGCTTCCTCCCCTTAATCAGGGATCGATCGGCAAGCTGAATTAGCCAAACCCAGGGAGTCTGACCCAGAGATTTCCCCCAGCATGCCTGTGTCAGCAGCTCCCGTGATTATGGAGGAAACCCCGGGACCCAGCTTCCTCGACCTTCTTTCCATTGCAGAGACACGTAAAGGCTCTGACCTTAAAATGCGAGGCCAGGGGAGCTCAGTAGGAAAGAGGCCGTACAGCACCATCGTCGGGAAAAGATGCACATCAGTGCTCCAAAAGCAAATAGGGACCTACTGCGCGTACCACGAACGCTTGCAGCTACGGAGAAAGGTCAGGGTCCTGGGCACCTGGTTTCTTTATTGCAGGGGGCGTAACTCAAGAGGAGCCTTCACGTTCAAAGAGGGTGGTGCAGGTCTAAAGGGACCACTTTCTGGGGTCACGAGGCTGCGTCACAGCACTCCCGGAGGCCCTCACATCCCCTTAGACCAGGGGAGGGTTTGTGAGGGAGAGAAACTCCCCTTAGAAGGGCCCACAGCCTCCCTGCCTGCCTGCTGGTCTCCCCTTGCCCTCAGCAGCTGACCCAGTGTTTGGCCCTGGCTGGCCTTCATGCATCTGTCCATCCGCCCCAGCCCTTACCGTGATGCACCTCGCCTGCCAGAAGGTTCTCCTCAAAACCAGTAGGCAGCCTCGGCCACCAGAGTCCCATCGGGACCCTGACGGGGCCTCCTGAACCTTGACCCAGGCTCTACCTTTGCCTCTGTCTGCCTTTTCTGCTCCGAAGTGCCCAGGCCCCTCGTACCTTTCTCTCGGGTCCTGAAGTCGCCTGGGAAGGGGACAGCTCGGGGAAAGGGGGAGAGGTCGTGGCCCTAACAGGCCACCTTTGAGTCGGGCCCAGGAAAAAAGGGTGATGTTTTAAATGAGAAGCAGCAATCCAGTCACCCAGCTGTGGGATCTGAACCGCTCGCTCCCAGCCATCACACGTGGCCTCAGACGATGTAGTAAGGTCACGCGGCTGTCTCCTCTTCTAGAACAAACAGAGCAGGTGCGCCTCGAGAGAGTGATGTGGAGAAGTGGAGATGATGTGTGAGGGGTCCGGCACAGAGCAGGTGCTCAGTGGCTGGCGTGACAATGAAGAGGAAATCGAGGCACAGATATCGTGAGAGGTGACAAGGGAAGCGGCTGGCGCCACCTGACGGTCACAGGCGTGCCAGACCACCAAGCACATGGTCGTCACCAAGGTCACCCTCACCCAGGCCGGAGGGAAACACCTGGCGCCTCGCCCCAGCCCAGGGCACTCCGGCAACGTGAGCATCTTGTCGAAGGACACGGCACGTCCACAGGACCGACGCCAGAGCCGGCAAGGACCTTCGGGGCCATCTGGTCTGTGCCCTATTTTGGAGTGAAGGAAACCGACACCCAGAGGGTCAAAAGGCACCGGCTGAAGCGCCACGATCAAAGCCACGGCAGCAATTCAGGCCTCCTCACGGCCGGCCCAAGGTACCCACGAGGCCCGTACACTCGGGGAGAGGCCGCAGGCTGTGGTGACGCAGGCGGCCAGCACAGGACCCCGTGTGGGCTTTCCGCAGGCACCCCCATATGTATAAGGTACGAGCCTTTGCTGTGGGCAGGTGCGTGTCCTTAACACACAGCTTCTCCAAAACACAGGCAAGAGCTCACCGACTTACAAACGCCTGCTGGCCACTGACTCACTCAGTCCCTCTCCTGTCCCCCACCCCACAGCTCCAGCCTGGAGGCCTCGTGTGCTGCTACTGGGGCTCCTCGTGGTGGGGAGGGGGTACCCACGTGGGAATGGCCTGGGGGGGACAGGAATCAGGGCACTGCCTCTAGGGGTCAATTCAAAAGAGAAAGTGAGGGGCCTCCTGGCGGGCTTAGTTGGTTAAGCGTCCAACTCTTGATCTCAGCTCAGGTCATGATCTCGAGGTCCATGGGTTTGAGCCCTGCGTCAGGCTCTGTGCTGACAGCTTGGAGCCTGGAGCCTGCTTCCGATTCTGTCTCTCCCCTCTCTCTGTCCCTCCCCGACTCGTGCGCACGTACATGCGCTTGCTCTCTCTCTCCCAAAAATAAATGAATACACGTTTTAAAAAAGGGGAAGTGAGAAAGTGTCCCGTAGCACCAGTGAATTAGATACTGATGCATTCAATGCGCCATCGAACCTGATTTTCCAAGAATACTCACAGAGAGAACATTCTGGAGGCCTGACGTTAACAGAAAAAATAGAATACAAACCTTCAACTCCAGCTTCCTGCCTCTGATACTTTAATACGCAAACACACATACGTGCATGGAGTGCAGTAAGGAAATGCATGCTGATGGCAGTCGCCTCTGGCTGAGAATTAATGGGTGACTCTTTAAACAAATATTTCCTGAATTTTCTAGAGCAAACACGTGTTCCCTTTATTTCTACAAAGTCTTCTGGTATCTTCTGGTTAAGATACAGCAGAAAGGTGAGCACCCTTTCCATTTTTCTTCCTGTGCTCCAGAAAGACCCTATTTTTGGCAAAGATGAGGGATCATCCCGGTCTCCCAGGCACTGAAGAATCTGGGCAAAAATGATCTCCTCCCTGACATCTGGTCTTTCCTGAAGTGGGACTAGAAATTTCCCTTTCCCCGGACTTGACCACGGCAGCCTTGCCGTCCCCAGGCCTGGAGGCCAACACTGATTACACAACGCTTGAAGCCCGTGTCCAATCCAACCAGCTCAAGGTGAGGAGAACTTTCCAGGCCCTGGCCAGGGGCCGCCCGTGCTGCCCTCGGAGCCCTGACATTCATCCCTCAACCCTCCCCCAGTCACTAGAGTCGGGGAACAGGTGGAAATACTTGTAGAAACACTGGCTGTCCTGCCGGTCACCAGTGGCAACTAAACAGTGTCCAAAAGTCAGAGCAACAGCTGAAAACTAGCTGAGGCTGTACACACACACACACACACACACACACACACACTGCTTTGGTCTCTTTAATTTTTTTTTTTAATGTTTATTTATTTTTGAGACAGAGCACAAGCAGGAGAGGGGCCGAGAGAGAGGGAGACACAGAATCTGAAGCAGGCTCCAGGCTCCAAGCTGTCAGCACAGAGCCCGACATGGGTCTCGAACTCATGGACCACGAGACCATGTCCAGAGCCAGGCAGATGCTTAACTGATTGAGCCCCCAGGTGCCCCATATCTTACCTCATTTTAAAAGCCAAGGCGTGGAGGGGAACGGAAGGGCGCCATCCCAGATCACCTGAACAGAACCTGAGCCCTCACTGGGTTTAGCCATATGTGGCTTTCGGGGTGTGGCCGATCTTCAAATGCGGTGGCTCTGGGCCATCTGCTTACATGTGTCTTTTTTTTTTTTAATAGTTTATTTATTTTTGAGACAGAGAGAGAGAGAGAGAGCGCGCGCGCACGAGCAGGGGAGGAGCCAAGAGAGGGAGACACAGATCTGAAGCAGGTTCCAGGCTCCAAGGTGTTAGCATAGAGCCCAATGTAGGGCTCAAACCCATGAAATGTGAGATCATGACCAGATGCTTAACCAACTGAGCCACCCAGGCACCCAAGTTTTGGTCTCTTTAAAAAAAATTTTTTTTTCTTTTGCTTTATCAGGTAGTTACTAATGGAAAGCACACAGAAACGTCCTGGGCAGTCGGGGTGCCTGGGCAGCTTAGTCGGTTGAGCATCTGATTCCTGGTTTCAGCTCAGGTCATGATCTCACAGTTCATGGGTTCAAGCCCTGCATCAGGCTCTTGCTGACAGCGCAGAGCCTACCTGGGATTCTGTCTCTCCCTCGCTCTGTCCCTCCCTGCTTGCTCGTTCTCTCTTCCTCAAGAATAAATAAACATTAAAAAATAATAGTAATAAAAAAAGGAAAAAGAAATGTCCTGGGCAGCAGCGCAAGAATGTGAGTAGGGGGCGAATATGGGAGCCTCCTATGCAAAAACTAGAGGGATGAAGACCCAGCCAACTGGGGTCAAATCCTGGTGCCCAGTCACCTAAGATACATAACAGGACAGGTGGCTTACCTCCCTGCACCTCTGTTTCCCATTCTGTAGAGGGTAAAATAGCTACTTCAGTGTGATTGGAAGCGTAAAGTGATCTGTGATACCCACTGCCCCAAAGAGCTTTTTGTTGTATATGACAAACCCACACAGTAAGATGTGTTATGTCATGATCATCATCAGTAACTCAGTGACCAAGGTAGGGGGAGTCTCTCATTTGGCAGACCCCACCCCTGGGTGTGCAGTGGGGCTGTAGCAGCCATCGGGGAGCTGAGCGCTGGGGTGACAGGCATGTGACCCGCACCAGGCCTCCAGGCACGTGTGAGTGGCAGCCTCCGGCCAGGCTCTTTCTGACCCCACTCCTTCTCAAATAGATAGGACCAGGACAGCCATCCCCCACACGTGCACCAAGTAAGATTCCAGACTTAATGCACAGCTACCTCCACACCAAACCTGCAGAATGTTCCCTGAAAAATGGAAACATCGATCCCACTCTGCAAAAATGCTCCACTAAGCCCCCTATGGCCAGCCCCTGACCTAAAGGGCCCCTCCCCCACCCAAGGCGCAAACCTGGACAGCCAGCCCGCCAGCCCTGAGCTGGCACCAGGACCCCTGCCCCTTCGCCACTGGGGCCCAGCACACACAGCTGCTGACACACCTCCCAGCTCCCACGCAGCCACCTTCACAGGGAGGGAAACAGGAGCCTCCCACACCTGAAGCAGCTTATCCATAGCCTTTAATTACAGCCGAAGGTCCTGGCGGAAAGCCCTGGAGACACAGGTGCCTACAGAAGGGACATCAAGGGCATCAGTACCAGAAGCCTGGGTCTGTCCTCATCAAAGTTACTGTCGGGACAGGCTGGGGAGCCCAGGCTGCGGATGTGGAGTTGAGGGCGCTCTGCGACTGCTGTGGATGGGATGCCTCTCCGGTTCCCCATCAGTCCACCAACCAACGGTTCATACCTTACAAAGGGAACGCTCATTAATCCAATACCCAGGAGCATTTCATCCAGCTGGCGAAGGGCTGCGGCCTGATGCCGGTGCTGGACAGCAGAGCGAGGGGCCAGACAACGGGTTCTAAGCCTGGCTCTGCTACATCCTGCCTGGGTGGCCTTGGACAGTCACGTTAGCTGTGTGGGCTGGGTGTCTTCATCGATAAAATTTGGGGCGGGGATTAGCCTCCGTTTCAGGCTCCTTCAGCTTCAGAAGCTTGATTCTGGGAGCCTCCCCACCGCTGTAAGACCCTGATAAAGCGGCCAAGCACCCCAGCACCGATCGCCGGTTCCAGGCCCGAGCTGCAGTCGGTTCCTCACCCGGGCAGGAAGACCCTCGCCTCCCCATGCCTCGTGACGCAGAGGTTGAGGCCGGGTGCCGCAGGCCCCCCGGACGAGGGGCCGAGGCGCTCCGAGGGCTGGGACAACGCCGGGCCCGCGCCTCTCACAGCCACGTGTGCTGCTCCTTTAAATGCCCGACCCTTCAGCTGCCCGCGCCGCGCCCACCCCCTGCGGGCCCGGGCGACGGGGAGGCGCACGCAGCCCGGCGCAGGCCCAGGCCTGGGGGCCGCTCCCCCCGCTCCGCCCACCCCGAGGTCCCGGCCGGCCCCCGCCGCCGCTCCCTTGTGCGCTCCCCTCGGCGCTCCTGCGCCCGCCGCAGAGGCCGGACCCGGCGCGCGCACGGAGCGCTGCAGCCCAGACGGGGAAGGGGCCCCGCGACCCGCCGTGGCGAGAAGAGTGCGGGAGTCAGCGCCCGGCCCGGGGGTCGCGGCTACGCCCCGGGCCGTCCGCGGGGCGGAAGACCCGGCCCCGCTCGCGCGCCCCAGCCCCGCCCGCTCACCTGCTCGGCCGCGGCGCTCCGGCGCTGTTTACGCGGCTGGCGGAGCGCCCGTCGGCCCGGGCCCTGGCGCCGGCGCAGACTCCGCCCCCATACTCCCCCCCCCACCCCGCGCTCCCAGCCCGCTGGCTCCGCCCCCCGTTCCTCCCCGGCCGGGGCTTCGGGCCACCCCCGGCGCCGGCCTCGGCCTCGCCCCTGGCCCCGCCCCGGCTTCGGCCCCGATGCCGCCTCCACCCAGGACCCGCCTCCGGTCCTCGCCCCGGCCTCGTCCCCGGCCTCGCCTCCGCCCCGGCCCCGCCTCCACCCCCGGGCCCCGCCTCCACCCCCGGGCCCCGGTCCCGGCTCCGCCCCCGGCTCGGGCCTGGGCCTCCGCTCGCCCGCCTCGCCGGTACCCGCCCCCGCCTCACCCGGAGCGCTGGAGTTGGAGGTGGCGTTCTCGGGGCTCGCAAGGGTCTGACCTGCCGGGGTGGCGCCGTAGGGATGCCAGCGTATACCTGGCATAGGACGGGGCTCTGACCTTAGAAGGAGTGACGGGAGGGCCTGTGATCGCACAGGGGTCTAGCAGCTCTGCGGGACCTTAGCTCGTTTGCTTGGAGGCATTTTTCCTTGCTGTGTTGGATCCCCACATCTCCCCCTTCCGCTCTCCCAACCCTCCCCTCCCCAGGCATCACTCACAATAAGAAAACACTAGTGGCCTGGGGTGAGAACATCATGAAAATTTCCCTGCTCTGTTTTCTAGAGCCTCAGAGCCACCAGGAGCTCTAGACAAAATTCTCGGGGGGTGGGGGGTGATATGGCTACCGATGGCCTGAGAATTGGCCTAAGGAGTGGCGACTTCTCGATTTGGGGGTCCACAGGGTGAGCTGAGATTGTCCATAATGTGACGTTTCTGAGTCGCTTCGTTTTTTAAATGTTTAATAAATAAATGTTTATATATTTATTTGGGGGGGAGGGGCAGAAAGGCAGGGAGAGAGAAGCCCAAAAAGGCTGGATCCCACAACTATGACATCATGACTTGAACCAAAATCAAGAGCCCCGCCCCTCAAACCACTGAGCCGCCCAGAAACCCCTCATTTTTTAACTTAGGGTAAAATTCACATAACATAACATTAACATTTTTTTTAATTTTTTTAATGTTTATTTATTTTTGAGAGAGAAACAAGAGTGTGAGTGAGGGAGGAGCAGAAAGAAAGGGAAACACAATCTGAAGCAGCTCCAGGCTCTGAACTGTCAGCACAGAGCCTGACTCCGGGCTTGACCTCATGAACCCGAGATTATGACCTGAGCCGAAGTCAGAAACTTAACCGACTGAGCCACCCACGTGCCCCAACATTAACCTTTTTAATTTGTTTTAATTTTTAAAAATTTTTATTTTATTTCTGAGAGACAGCGTGAGCAAGGGAGGGTCAGAGAGAGAGACACACAGAATCTGAAACAGGCTCCAGGCTCTGAGCTAGCTGTTAGCACAGAGCCCGACGCGGATCTCAAACCCACGAACCACCAGATCATGACCTGAGCCGAAGCCGGACGCTTAACCAACTGAGCCCCCCAGGTGCCCCCAACATTAACCTTTTTAAAGTGTACAATGTGGGGCTTCTGGGGGGCTCAGTTGGTTAAGCCTCTGACTCTCGATTTGGCTCTGGTCATGATTTCATGGTGGGGGGATCCAATCCCGAGTTCTGCTCCATGCTGAGCATGGAACCTTCTTGAGATCCTCTCTCTCTCTGCCCCTCTCCCCTGCTTGTGCACTCTCTCTCTCCAATAAAATAATAATAATAAAATAAAAATAAATAAGTTGAAAGTGTACAATGGCATTTAGTACATTCACAGTATTGTGAAATCCCAGCCACCCCTACCTAGTTCTAAAATCTTTCCAACACTCCCAAAACCTACCTTTTCTATAGTTTCTTCTGATGCCCTCCTCCCCCAGCCTCTGGCAACCACCAGTCTCCCTGGGTTTTTCCGTGAATTTACCTATTTTGACATTTCAAATAATGGAGTCGTACAGTATGTGACTTTTTGGGTCTGGCTTCTTTCGTTAGCACAATGTTTTCAAGATTCATCCATGTTGTGGCATCTATTTTCCTTCATTCCTTTTTATGGCTAAATAGTATATTCTATTGTATGTACGTACCAGTATTTATCCATCTGTTCATTAATGCACATCTGGGCTATTTCCTCCTTTGGGTTACTGTCAGTCCTGCTATTGTAAACGTGTGTATGTATATTTGTCTGGGTGCCTTCTTCAATTATTTGGGGTACATACCTAGGAGTTGAATTTCTGGATCATATGGAAATTCTATGTTTAACTTTTTTTTGCAGGGCTTGAACTCATGACCCTGAGATCAAGACCAGAGCTGAGATCTAGAGTCGGATACTTAACCATCTGAGCCACCCAGGCGCCCTTCTATGTTTAACTTTTTCAGGAACCACCAAACTGTTTTCTGCAGAGGATGAACCATTTTACGTTCCCACCAGCAATCAAAAGAGGGTTCCAATTTTTCCATACCATCCAATACTTGTTATGTTTTATTTAGACAATAATATCATCCTCATCATCATCATCATCATCATCATCATTGCCTTCCTAGCGCATATGAAGGGGTACCTCATTCTGGTTTTGGTGTGCATCTTCCCATTAATTAGTGGTGGTGAGCACCTTTCATGCGCTTGTTGGCCATTTGTATATGTTCTTTGGAGAAACATCCATTCAAGTCTTTTGCCCATTTTTAAATTGGGTCATCTTTTTGTTGCCGAGTGGTATGAGTTCTTTACCTCTCCGGATACCAGCTCCCTATCAGATCAACAGTTTGCAAATATTTTCTCCTGTACGGAGAGTGTCTTTTAACTTTCTGATAATGTCTTTTCCTGCACAAATGCCTTTCGTTTTTATTAAGTCCAAGTGATCTATTTTTTCTTTTGTTGGTTGTGCCGTGTTGTGTCTAAGAATCTATCATCAAACCCAAAGTCATGAACGTTTACCTCTATAATTTTTTCTAAGAGTTTTAGAAGAGCACCTGTATTGGGGTAGTTGATCCATTTTGAATTAATTCTTGTATGTGGTGTGAGGCTTGGGTCCAGCTTCATTCTTTTGCATATGGATAAACAGTGGTCCAGTACCATTTGTTAAAGAGACTGTCCTTCATAATTGCCAATAAAAACCCCAGGCCCCAAGCAGAGTCTAGACTTATACTATTTTCCTTTATGACTCTCCAGGCTGCTCCGTCAGTATCTTTCTCTCTCCTTCTCCATGTATACAGAAAAACCTTGGATTGTGAGTAAATTGTTCCGCAAGTGTTCCACAAGATGAGCAAATATTTCTAATAATATTTTTATTTTCTTAATGTTTATTTGTTTTTGAGAGAGAGAGAGAGAGAGACAGAACGTGAGCTGGGGAGGAGCAGAGAGAGGGAAACACAGAATCCGAAGCAGGCTCCAGGCTCTGAGCTGTCAGCACGGAGCCCGACGCGGGGCTCAAATCCATGAGCTGTGAAATCATGACCTGAGCTGAAGTTGGACGCCTAACCGACAGATCCACCCAGGTGCCCCTTTTTCTAATAAATTTTAACTTGATAAACAAGTGATGACTTGCAATACAAGTAGCCCATGATGCCAAATATCACATGATCATATTATACATGAGTTTAGCTTCAGTCCTTTAGGCTTGACCCAGAGTTTACCTCTTGGGCCTGCACTGAGGGCTACATGACTATCTTCAGGTCAAGGGAAAAAAACAAATAATAAGACAAGGATTAGTGTCCCTAGTTAATGGTTATTTATGACACAGTTTGCATACATTGTCCTTGAGATAATGGCTATTCCCTTGATACTCCACTACAACCTGAAACCGTGCCTTCACAATAACAAATGTTGTCCTACATACCAGGATAAGGGCCACTTTCTTTATCACTTTGTAGCCTTTTTACAATAACCACTCAATTCTCTTCTGTACTGCCCACTTGCCTGCTTGCTGCTTATAAAAAGCCCTGAGTCTTTGGGCTCGGGGCTGCACATCTAGAGAGTTCTGTGTTACCTCTGTGCAGTCCTGGCCAGTAATGAAGACTCCCTTAATTTGGCTTCAGTGGTCTCATTTGGTCTCTGTGTCTCTCGGCATAACAATCACAACTGAGCCAATGGTTCTTGAAATTCGCTTTGATATACAAGTGCTTTCGATTATAAGCATGTTTCTGGAACAAATTACGCTCGCAAACCAAGGTTTTGCTGTATATATATCTTTCACCTCGAAAAAAATAAATAAGTATAGAGACTGCCCTTTCACCAATAATTGGCCTTGAACCCCTTGACAGAAATCAATTCACTATAGACAAACAGGAAAAACCAAATATTTTTTAAAATCGGCTCAAATGCAAGCTAACCCAAGATGGAAAT